TCTTTTTAAGTGTTTTAAACCAGAGGTCTTGAAGAGGTGTGATTTCACAGGCTTCTCTGGGTACAAATACGGAAATGTTGATGCACAGTCTATCCTTGCAGGAAACTTCCAGTTTTAGCAGGCTTCTTCCCAACCAGTAAAATCAATTTGAAACACACACAACTCTTTGGCAAGTAGCATCCTCTTAGGATATTAAGCACAAGCTTTTGGGTCACAATGGAAAGGTGGTAATGTAAAAGATGAAATGCTGTATAGGAGATGGGACAGCTCAGTAGATTCCAGGTACAGGCACTAGTTAATATTGGGGATTTTTGGACAAGGCTGAGACTTTAAATTGCCAGAGGTTTGGACTGAGAAAACCTTGTCATATTATGAGTAAAAATGGAAATATAGGGAAAAGATGGGGAAATTTGACAGAAATTCTTATAGTAATATATTGTTTGTAGAGCACTAAATGGTTTACTGCCCCCACCCCACCCCATACCTTTCTGGAAACAAAGTTATGGTTGGTATTTCATCAGAAACAGGTGGTATTTTTATGGAATATTGAACAATTGCTGGCTGATTCCGATCTGGTGCATAACAGTGCTTTTCTCCTGGCAATGCCTTTGTGTGCCAAATAAAAGAGGAAGCACACACACATGGCAGGTAAAAGCACATGTCTCCTTTGGTATCTATCTATCATCATCGGGATGTTTCAGTAGTAGGAGGAGATTGACTCATAACTTTTTCCTCGTGAGTATCTGTTTGAAAGATAGAGGTATGTATATGACCACTATGAGGTTCAAGCTTAAAATTATCTACCCAGCTGTCTAGATTCTAATTTGATGTGATATAAGGATTCTAGGAAGAAATTTTAATTTTATATTTGTAAAAGGCGAGAATTCTTTTTTTTTTCCCGCAGAATTCGCTTGGAATTACTAGTTTACTATCATTTTGTGTGATTGTGGTAAACCTAATAATAATAGTAATAATAATAATAAAGTGCTATTCCCTGATAAATTCACAGGGAGATAGCTTTGGCCATCCAGAGGCACCTGAACAGACTAGACAACTGGGCGGTGAAAAAACTCACAAAATTCAACAAGGCCAAGTGCAAGGTCCTGCACCTGGGGAGAAATAACCCCAGACACCAGTACAGGCTGGGGACCGACCTTCTGGAGAGCAGTTCTGCAGAGAAACACCTGGGTGTCATGGCGGATGACACACTGCTGCCCTTGTGGCCAAGAAGGCCAATGGGATCCTGGGCTGCATTAAGAAGAGCGT